AACTGACCTTAGAGTCTCCCACATCTTCTGGCAAACTGTAGTTGAGATTTAATATGTTTTTTTTTTGTTTGTTTGTTTGTTTTTCTTTGCCATTCTCCCATAAAACTACAGCTGGTGAAGAACCTGGCCAAGAGTTGTTATTTGTATAATTTCTCCCATCTCAGCTGCTACAGCTTGTAACTCCTTCAGAGGAGTCGTAGGTGTCTTTGTGGCCTCCTTCACTAGTATCTTTCTTGCATGGCCACTCAGTTTTTGAGGATAGTCTGCTCGATGCAGATGAATGCATGTGGCTTGTTCTTTCATTTTCCTAATGATGGTTTTAACTGTAATCCAGTGGGCATTTAACACCTTGGGAGTTTTACTGTATTCACCCCCTGATTTATGCTTTTCAATAACCTTTCCATGGAGTTGCTTGCAATGTTTTCTCTCTACATGGTGTATTTAAAGCCAGGAGTACTGATTCAAGAGTGACTGAACCTTCCAGATACAGGTGTCTTTAGACTATAATCACATGAGACACATTCACTGCACTCAGACGATCTCCATTTCACGAGTTGTGTTACTTCTAGCACCAACTGGCGGCGCATTTGTTGAATTAAATGAGTCACAGAAAAGGGGGCGAATACTTATTTTTTCAACATTTTATATTTTGAATTAACTGACACCACATTTTAGAAATTTGTTTTCACTTTGACATGAAAACGTCTTTAAAAAAATGTTTAAATTCTTGTCAAAAAAAGACTAATTAAATTGATAAGAGGGGAAAACTTCCACAGGGGGGTGAATATGCTTCGTAGCCACTGTACATGCTTGTGGAGACAGGAGCTCACCTGGCAGGAGGAGAGCTGTGGTGGTGGTGGTGGTAGTGGTGTGGGTCTGGGGTCGAGCCTTCTTGGCCACGCTGTCGGTCCCACAGATGAGGATGGTCTCGCTGGGAGACGAGGACGACGGCTCCATGGGGGTGCAGTCGGGTTCTTTGGATGGAGCCTCCATGTTCACTTTGGCACTCATAACAGCGTCCCTGTCTCTTGTGCTGGAGCGCTGGAGGAGCAGAAGAACAGCACAAAGCAATGATGTGCAGTGCAAAAGGCCGGCTTTGATATTATGAAATTTGTGACCCAGGGAGGCGATGGACAGAAGAGGGCTGCAGCTGCTTTGTTGTGTTTTTTAGGTTTTATTTTACTCCATTTAAGTAGTTTTTTTTTGTTTTTAGTCCTGAGTGTGGAATGAGTGTTTATTTATCCAAATTAACGGCTGACAAGAAGATATCTTATGAGATTTTTGTAGCATATAATAGTAACGCCTTCATCAGAAATCTCTAATATTATAAAAAAGTTTAAAATACAGTGGTTTGGAATGTTCCTGCACACTGTAGGAGCATGTCACGAATAAAACAATATATATCTTTATTGCAGGGACTTTGTATCTTAACTGTAAGGGCAATAATCTGGGAAAATACAGGACAAAGACTTCACATTTCAGCCAATTTAAAAAAAACAAAAACAACAACACACAAACAAATAAACACATTTTTCTCGATGCCTGTTTTATGCAACACAGCCAAGATCCTGTTTAACTTTTTTTTAACAGCCATCCATCACCTCCAATGAAATTAAGCCTATAATGGTGACACACCAATATTTTCGCACAAGCTTCCAAGTCCTCACACACACACACACACACACACGGGCGCACACACACATACACAAAAATACAGCATTTCAGTTAAAATGGCGGAGGATGTGAAATCCTTGAGGCACAAAAAAAAAATGTGTAAAAGCAGAGTCTGATTTCCTCTGAAGATCCCATTTGCTGAAGAATAAAATCAACCTTGTCACCCATTCCGGCAACATCTCTAATGAATGAGCAACATTTTCTTAACAACATCAAGCATGTTGGATATTTCACCAAACCTCCAGCGCAACTGCTTCTACTATTAAAATGCATTTAAGTCGACTGGGTCAATTAACCGCCTGCCATTATCAAATTTTATATGTTACAGATGAAAAGCTTTTGTGGGTGATTACATCCATAACGCCAAAAACGGTTCAGCTCAAGAAAGAAATAATAAAACACGGAATTTAACGCTTGTGCATTTAAAACCTACGCGGTGCGAAGACGCCCGTTATAACAAGTGGGAAGTTAAAAAACGTGAATATAAATTCGTGTTTGCAGATTTCAGGAAACTGAAATTTGGCTTACCAGCTCTGATCTCCTGCGGCTCCGGGGCTCCGTCTGCGCATGCGCGGGCCCACAGTACAGTCACCGCTCGTCGGCTATAATGTAACGCCAAAAGACTTCCAATGCAGCCGCTCCACTTTCACTGACGGTCGATCAGTGAAAAATAATGTGCTGCCGGATCGATTACACCGGACACCGTTAACTGAGGCTCCTTTTTTTTTCCTCCCCCCTCTTTCTTTATTATTCAAATGCAAACTGCAGCTTCTGCTTCCAAACACGGAGCCCGCTCAGCAGACACCCTTAATGAAAGAGCGTTTATTATATAATTAGCAGGATATAGGTCATGTCGATACTGCAGTCAAGGTTTTTTTTTCTTTCTTGCAGTCCTGACACAAAGCAACACCACACTGCAACATTTGTTTGTTTTCTTTGATTAATATCTTTAATTGAACATACAATAAAAAAAAAAGAAAAAAAAAACATTTTTCCATTAGATCCCATTCATTGAGGAAAAAAAAAATATGACTCTGTTCCACAAGATGGAGATAGTGGCTGCATTCAGTAAGCTTTAAGAAAGAAGAAAGAAAACCCACAAGCAGACCTTCCAGAGACCATTCAAGTTCAAAATCTCCAGTACGAGCTGCACACTTTAAATAAGCAGAGGCGTGACAGAACCCTTTAACACCTGGATTTAACTTGCAGAAAAGGAATTGTTAACCGGGCCTGCAAAGCAACGCAGGAAATGTGACCAAAAAAAAAAAAAACAGGACACGGGAGGCGTCGCAGCTCCAAACTTAAATCCATGAAGTAACATGACAAGTTACCTGCTCGAGGGACCGAGTCATTTTTGAGCTGATGACACTGTCTATGTACAAGAGGTTAAAAAGGATCAGAATAATCCACCGTACAATGCAAGTTGTTCAAATATGAAATACAAACCCTTATTTTCTTGTAAATATGCAGTTCCGCAGAACAAGCCGTTGCATCCCAGACACGCACTGTTAAACACCAAAGATTGACCAATTCCTTGAGAAAACAAAAAATCATTGAGACTGCAGATTGAAAAGGAAAAACGCTTCAGTGCTGTGGCCGAACGCTACTTTTCTCCCGCAGTGGTGAGCACAAACATATCTACTGAACAAAGGATCTGAGGACACTTAAAAATGGCGATAAACTTTAATCAATCTACCAAATGAACAAAATCGGTAGCAAACCAAGTAAAAGTACAATAAAGACAACTTATTCTTCGATAAACTAAACTGCTTGGCTGGTGTCACAAAGCTGAACTTCACCAATCAGGCTGACATTTGGAATAAAGACTTGAACTACCCTCAGCTCTAAAGCCTGTAAAACTAGCACCATGTTGCTGAAAATAATGACGCTGAACTGGTGTGTTTTTGGAGGCAGATCATGTCAAACAACTCCAAAAAGTAGCCCTGGCACAGTGGTGCATTGTTTAGTGAACTGCATCGATGACATGTTAAAACAAGTGCACACCCGAAGGAGAAAAGTAGACGAGTCAGGAAGCGTAAGCTAGTTATTACAACACTGCTCACTATGTACAGCATAAGGATCAAGCTCAACAGTAAGAAAACCACCGCCCTTCTCCACCCTCCACTACTCCTGTGAAGCTGATCTGGACCGTGAGCGGGACCTGGAGCGGGACTTTGAGCGGGAGGCTGAACGCTTCTCTCTCGATTTGGATCGGCGGTCGTCCTCCTGAGGAGACGGTGAGCGAGATGCAGATTTGGCGGCTCGCTCCTCCTTTCCGTTCTCCACTGGGGAAGCTGAACGACTGCGGGATTTCTTCTCAACACACATTTCTTTCGATCGACTGCGAGAATCCCGCTCTGATTTTACCTTAGAACGGCTCTTTGAGCGGGACTTGGATTTCCGTTCAGCCGAACCAGACCCGGATTTGCGAGAGCGTGAACGAGATTTGGATTTCTGGGATCGAGATCGGGACCTGCGGTTGCGGGAACGTGATTTGCTGTCTCCTGACTTGGAGCGAGACTTCCTTCCAGACCTGGAGCGGGAATGATGACGTCTCTTGTTGCTATGGGAACGAGACCTGTTAAATTAAAGGAATGTTGTTCAGATTTTGCACAACAGCATCAGAAAATTAATGAAGATGTGACACTGAAACCCCCTAAACCTTATTTTGTCCAACACATTAAAAGAGAACCTCTGATCACCTTGAGTGGGATCTAGAGCGGCTCCTTGAGCTCCTGCTCCTGTGGCTCCTGCTGCGAGAGCGACGACGGCTGCGAGATCTGAGGAAGACAGCAAAAGTCAGAATCAAAACTTCTGCCACATTTTGTGAAACTACTAGCAACTCGTGCATCAAAGAACAGATAAAGTAGAGAAACTGTATCCTCACCTGGAGCGACTGCCAGAGTAGGACCTTCGTCTGCGAGGTCGGTCCTCCACCAGTCGAATCTTCCGTCCATTGATGTCTGTACCGTCCAGCTTGTCCAGAGCCCTCTTCATGTCGGAGTGGGTCCTGAACTCAATCACTCCCTCATTGGTACGCTCCTTGTGGGCGTCTGCATAGGTCACCTCTCCTGCCTGACGCATGAAGTCCTGATGGACACAGAAAACGTAGTGAGAACTTCGCTTTGTTTAACCGATTAAGGGCCACTAACGATCTTGATGTGCGGATTCCCCACAGTGTAGACAACTGAGAAACAACAGTGACCCATGTTCATACGGTTACCTTGAGGTCTTGCCAACTGCAGCGGCTAGACAGGTTCTCCACGATGAGACGATACTCAGTACGGACTGGAGGTCCATACTTGTCCCTGCCAGAGCGGCTCCGGCTGCTGTAACCGCTACCTTTAAAAACAACAGCACAAGAATAAAGTTAGAAACAACTACACTGACCAAGACAAAAAGATTTACTGGCCTGGGCTATTAAATGAACACAAGGCAGTGATTAGCCAGATCTAAGTCCAAGGGGGTATAAATTTGAACTTAATCATGAAAGGAGTCCCTCTGATCCCATTTTCAAACACAAAGCTTCAGATAAGGGATCTACAGGCCACTGCACAGGCTCTTTATAGTTTGTATTGTTCAGCATTTTGAAGTTGTTCTCTGCTGCAAAGAACACCACTGCATCTGTTTCCGGCAATACAAAGCCTGTCTTACTCCAGTACATCACACTGTGATGCTTTAGCTGCATAAACAAATGGACAGTGATGTTCTTTCAAGACCTCTGAACCCTGCAACACAGACAGACAGGAGGCATCCACATAGGTTGCGGTCAAGGACAAATTGAGTAAAGAGGGGTGTAAAGAATACACCAATCTTTTGGCAATTGATATTAGTTACTTTACCGGGTGTCAGTCTGAAATTTTCTTTTCCAGTTTTGCACTTACAGCATTTCTTTAGATTGTAAGTTCTTTACTAGAGCCGATCCACTTATGTTTGCTGTCAACATAAAAACCAATGGCAATCCTCACCATCGCCCCTGGTCTATTGGCAAAAGGCTGCTGTCATCATGGCTTCCGGTTAGGTCAGCCAAGGATCAAGGGGGGGGCAAAGGTCACACACACATTGTAAGGTGAAAGCCAAGGCCAAACGGGACAGGCAGTCATCTTAGCCAGTCATCTTTAGCCTCAATGGACTCTCAGCCTCAGCCCGCAACTGGACTCTTTCAAATTGAAACATCAAGGACTTTTGTTAATGTTGAATAAAAAAATATATACCAAAGTTAAAAATACACATTTCACATGAAAATGTTAGTCTAGTCTTAATAATTCAGCTAAAACTACACTATCTAGGCTTGTGGTAATCAATTAAGTTTAGCATTTTTCCTCAAATAAAAAAAAAAAAAGGAAATTCACACCTTCATATGGCTCACCAAAATAATTATCATCCAAGATCAATTGCTATTGCCCACTCTACAGCCTAGACTCTTAAGTCTGTTTTCTGAAGGCTTTGACTTGAAGATTGTTGCTCCTTGCCGGTAAGGAACCACAGACCAATCACCTGTGGCCTATTATCACTCAGGAGGAGCAAAAACCTGCAGGTCACCAACCCTTGGTGGTGAAACTGAGAACAACTGTTCAACGGGATGAGCTCGAATCCACAATACAAACAAAAAAACATGTGAAACTGAATTCCCTGAATGATAAAAATGCAGATGAGTCCTCGTTGCATATGCATCTCTCCATGAGTTGAAGTTACTGTATACTATATTAAACAACAATAAAATATGAGAGTAATAGCTTTAGACTAAAATGTCCAACTATCAAAGGTTGCATGCACTCTGAGCCATTTAAAAAAAAAAAAAACCGTGGAGCCCAAAACTCGTTAACATGGAATTTAAGTCTCGTGGCTATAAACCGTGACGGTGTAACGGAAAACCAAACAGCCACCTGAGTATCTGTAAACTTATGCAGCAAGTCTGGGTTAATTAGCGTCTCTAGGAAAACCTACAACAGCTGTCTGTGCAGTCCACATCGACACCTCACCCCAGGGGGAAGGGGAAGAGAGGGTATCTTGTAATAGACTGCACTTACTGCGCCCACCACCCCAGTAACCCCCACCGTAGCCATCTCGGTCTCGTCTCGGCCCGCGGGCATGTTCGACGATCACCCGCTCTCCGCACAGCTCTTTCCCGTTCAGCTCGTACACGGCGTCGTCGGCATCCCGGTTGTCCTCGAACTCCACGAATCCATAACTGCATAAGAAAGACAGATTAGGTATTGAAAAACACCCCAAACTTGGTTCAACCATGTGCAGTCCAACGCCATTCATTCTCACTCATGAGGCTAGTTATCGTTAGCTTGGCCCACGCTAACTCCGCGTTGTAGCAAACACAAAGACGCCATGTTGGCCATGCGACATTTGCCACACGGGCGAGAACAAAGTTGGGGAAACAGGCGATATTTTCATTCTTACCTGTAATTCACAAACACAAGACTCGGGAATTGCACTTTGCAAGCCGACTTGACCAATAATATGAACTACATTTGTGCAAAAGCGTCAAATGTTGCTGTGCAGGCGGTGACGTCGCTTACATGAGCGGTTATCGCTAAAGCTAGCTACAAAATGTTAGCTAACTCGCATTGCCACTGAACACTCACCCATTTTTTAAGTCGATTTCCATGAGTTTTCCATATCCGCTGAAAAAGCGCTGAATGTCCTTTTCGCGGACATGGTAGCTCAGTCGTCCGATGTAAACTCGAGGCATGGTTTATCACCAAACGTTGCTCTCGACGGTTCTCCGTAACAGCTCGTTTCCAGCCGAACCCTGCTGCCGCTGCTACTTAGCACTGTGAGCTTGTCTTCCAAAAAAGCTTTCGGCGATTGCGCCAAGCCAGCCAATGGGCGTGTAGCTCCCGGTGGGAACCAGCCAATCAGAGTGAAGCTAATAATTTCACTTCCCTGGTATTGAATTTCATGTTTCGATCATTTTTTTCCTCACATGCAGCAGGAACATTATGTAAACTTGTGACCCTGTTAATAATCGCGGAGATGGATTTTAAATGCTCAAATGCCAGTATCTCAAGAACATAAAAGGCATTAACCTATATACTTTACCATAAGCCATATAAAACATTGATAAACAGTAACATTTTGCAGCAGTAGCAATTTTTAGATCTCAACAACATAAGGTGCAATCAAAAAAATGTGAAATTAAATATTGAACTACAACCACAGTGTGACGACATGGATGGAAGCACAGAGAAAGTAGTGGAGAGAGAGAGAGTAGAATATTTTATTTTTGTAAAAACCAGGTTTTAAAATGATTCCAGCCAGACCTTCTTATCCACATTCCTTTCAAACAAGAACAGAACCAAACAGAACCAATATCACATGCCCAGTATCACTGGACTGAAACTCATATCCTGGATACATCGTGGTGTAAATTTCTTTTAATCGCACAGGAAAAGAACAGCCTGTAGGAGACCGACCTGAGGTGCCTGCTCAGAAGTTGTTGTTTTCGGGGACCGGTATCAGCTCAAGAAACCTGCTCTCAATACCAGAAATGAATTTCACAGATTTTCAAATTGCTCTAATCCAATCTCCACTGTTTGATAAAATTTGTTCATCTAATCTTCTGAAGTCAGAGAAATAAAGTACACAACTGCTCGTCAATGCCACAAAAGCACTCAAACACACTGTATCGTTTCTATTTCTGTCTCACACACAACCTCCCCATTAAAGTCCTATTAACGGTGCTCTCTCCTTTATCAGCCCTAAGTAGCTTGAGTTTGTGTCATCTTCTGCTATAAAATGATCAAAAGCAGGTCTGTAATAGAAGTTTTTCACAGACTGGTTTTGCTGACAGGTCGTCCTGTAAGTATTCCTGCCCTGGTGACTTTATTTTTTTTTCTATTATAAGCTTGGGCAGAAAATTCTGGACTGACAGTTTTGTGATTTCCAGCCAGACCAGGTAAAGGGCACAACTATTAGTTTAAGCGACACTGAGCTCAAGAAAAAAAAAAAAAAGAAGAGACCATGGCTACAGTCACCAGAGCATCCTAAGCTCAGCCACTGCAGATGAACTTAACTACAATTTGGTTGGTTGCATGGAGAAATGTGTTTTTGTTGTTTTGCTTTTTAATCCAAACAAATACTCTGTAAAGTGTGAAGATAAAGAATGAGGAAGGACTTAAGCTGTGTTAAATCAGGCTTTTCTTGGAGGAATCAAGAATCACAGCAAATGGGAAAAAAAAAACAACAACCTAAGAGGTGGAGGGTTCATCAGCCAAACAACAAATCGAATGCATCCAACGGTGTATGTGGTGAAACATCATCTGCTTTCGGTGCCTGAACCCCATCAGTCGGCTTTCGATACTCTCTCACTCCCTGCCCCGGTCAGGCCATGACACAACTAAACGACAGCCAAACCCTCCCGCAGTTCGATTCAGAGAGTCCTTTTAGCAAATCATGGAGGCCTCCGACCCCAGCTCCGGCCCTTCTGAGGGGAAAAGGGAAGGCCGAGAGAGGTGGGGGAGCCCAGTTTTCATGGCCTTTAGTTGGCTTTGGCACGGAGCTGTGCCCTCTTGCCCGTCACAGCCTGGAAGCCGGTCTTGATGCTGGCGACAGAGCAGCGGGAGTGGCACGTCTCGCACTGCAGGAAATAGAGACGAGTGTCCTTCTGCAGGATGGTTTCTGGGGAGCGGCAGGTGTGACACGTCACATATTCCTCTGCAGGAGTGAGAAGAGCGTTATTAGCGCTGCAGTACAAACAGAGGTTCACAGCATATTCCTGTCAATGGTCTTGGCAGAGAAGCACACGGGGTGGGAGCTGATTGAAAGCGTCCTCTACTGATTTAGGTTTGCACTCCTGTTACTTTGTCAGACTGCCACAGTGGACAGTGAGAAAACTTTTTTTTTTTTTAATTCTACACTTTCTTCAGCAAAAGTCTACATTACCCAGAACCAATCAAAATAACTTATTAAATCCTCTGAACCCCCAAAAGTACCACAAGGTTTAAAAGGTATGTGTCTTTAAAAAAAGAAGCACTTCACCATTTATCGGAGCCAGAGGCTGTTAAAACAGTCATTTCAGCTTTCCGATGGTCCTTGATCTATTCATCTGTGTCGTGTCATTTTGCAAGAACATTTCTAAAAACTTAAGCTATAGGAATTATAGGGAATTCCGTTTGGATTCCCTATAATTCCGTTTGGATTGTTGGGTGTTTCTGTCTCTGCCTTTGTGAAGCGCTATGAGATGACTTGTTGTTGTAAATATGCGCTATACAAATAAAATTGAATTGAATTGTGATATTTCATCAAAGTCACTTTATTCTAAACATCTCAGTTAAAATTCTTACAAAAAACTAAACTAAATAAATTTTAAAAAATGTAAAAAACAGTTTGCTCTAACCAAATTCGGCAAAAACCTAAAAATTCAGCGCTCCTCATCACAACCATGAAGCCATGACTGACTCAGCTGTGAACAACCGTCATGGAAAAATAATTGTGGGACTTTTTGACTGGGCTGCAGGCTGTGTTTGCACAGAACAGATAAGAGACGAGTATTGAAACTGATTTAATTATCAGTTTTTTTGTACATGTTGATTCCAGTTTTGTTGTTGTTGTAACATAAATAATTAAGTCACTGTAGAATGGACAATAAAATAAATTCCATTCTAGGTTTTTTTTTTCTATTTTGGCGTTACTACTCACACTGCAGAGAAGACACTCATTAGTTTTATCTACTTCTGGACATGGTTGTGCGGTGTTGAGTGCATAGAGGTTCTGGACTTTATATTGCAGTGAAAAATAAGTCCAGAGTGAGTAGAAAAAGTGACAGGAACAAAAAAAAAAAAGAAACAATGGGACTGCTTAGCGTTCAGACAGTTGACACGCTGCACCTCAAACAATTCAGCTGGAGATGTAGGTGTGTTTAGCTAGTAGTAGTTAATGTTCTTTGTCTTTATAAATGTAATAAAATGTATTTATAATTAGCTGAACGAGCCACTGAGTGTCTCTAAGGTCTAAAAGTGTTTATGCACATTTCAAAAGAGACAAATCAGAATTAGTTTTAACATAAATAATTGATTTAATTCCCACTTACTGATATATCTTCTCAACACGTTTTCTATCTGTTTCTGTTGAAATCTGCCTTTGATCACAAGCTGATTATTTCCATCTATGGAGCCGCTGTAAAGAGAAAAAAAGGCACAAAGCAAAAACACCAATCAGTCTTTAATTAAAGCGCACAAATAAATGTGTCCTTTCATTTGAGAGTTTGAACTTTAAAAATACATCACAGCTAATGTAGAACATACCTTGTTCCCAACTCAGCCAGCAGAAAAGCGAGGAGATGTTTAGGCTGACGATGCAACCTGGAATAAAGGCATGAAAGGTCAGTTCAGAGGAAACGCTTTCACAACTCATTTCACAAAAAGAGGAAACCATTGTGTGATACACATTTGGCTACATTTAATAAAGTATTAGGTATTAAACTGCATTTGTACTAGAACATGTGTGCGAGTACAAACAGAGTGGGATGTCAGCGTGGAAGAGACGAGTGAGTGGGAGACTCACAGTTTGCAGATGTCTGTGAAGTTGACAAAGGAGGTTTTCTTGGTTCCCACTCGGACCACCTGAGGAGGCTTCATCACAAACTTCCTCTTCTCTCCGGCCACCATGTCCGGGTTCTTCTCTCTCATGATGTTGAAGACTCGGTTGAGGAGCTGAGAGAGAAATGTTGAGTTACACCCAATGCGGTTAACAGTAGGATGAAACCTTTATAATTCTCTTTACTTTCATGTTTAAAGATGCACAAGCTTCCAATAAAGGACAGCAGAGAATGTCAGCGTTATAGACTGAGCCATATTTAAGTAAGAAACTGAATTTTTAGAACCACAGTTTGAATTACTTTTGTGCTTTAGGGGCTAAAATGCTGCACTGAAGTCAATTAGTTAGTGGGATACAGCCACAGTTCAGCTCAGATTTAACGTTCTCTCCTCAGATAACCACCATCATTTTTGGTTTGCTTGTTTTAAATCAATCACACGAGACTGAATCTAAAACCATGTTTATAATTTATTATTCAGTTCATTCAGCCCGATGGGGCAGGGGTGAGCGGGCCATCAGCGGTCACAGTACTGGGGGCGTTGGTGGGGGAATTTTCGGAGATCAAAATTGCTATCCCAGCACAGCGAACGAATAGTCGGCTATTCGGGTCCAGCCCTAATTCTTTAAAGCAACTTATGAATATACAACAAGGAAGTCCGAGCACCTATAAATCGTTCAGCTATCCTGAACATAAACTTCCCTTCTTCCTTCTGGGTGCAGTCGTACCTCATCGTAAGTGTAGTCTCTTTCCGAGCCCGCCCAGGCTGGTCCCGTGGAGGAGCTGAACGAGATTCCATCGTTGTTCTTCCCCTCATCGTCCTCCAGTGCTGTAAACATATTGTGCAAACATATTATTACACAAGCACCTTGTTTTAGTTTTCAATTGTTAAGATACGGTGATTCAACCCCACCGTCGTCTTTCTCCAGCGCCTCTCCCTCATCGAAGGCTACTTTCTTTGGCTTCTTCTTTTTTTCGGGAAGCATCAAATCCAGGTTGTCCTCCTCCAGCGCCTCTGTCTGCTCTCCTTCAATTTTCAGCTCCTGGTTTGGAATGATGAGAAGTGAAATTAGACAAGCAGATGATGAGTAATGACTGTGTGAATACGGCTAAAGTAAGGAAAAGCAGATGAAAGGAAATGACGAGGAGAGAAGAAAGAGGGAAAACTGGTCACGATATAGCGGTGACTGACCTTTAATCCCTCCTCGATCTCATTGTCAAATACTTTCTTGGGTTTCTTCTTCTTTTTCTTCTGGTTGAAGAAGTTCAGGTCGTTCAAATCATCAGAGGGCTCTGTAGAACACGAAGAAACTCTGGTTAACATCAACTGACGTGCAGGTAACGAACAATGTAGCATCCTTTAAAAAGAATTTACAATAATTTTTACTCTAACCTTTCTTCCTGCCTTCATCTTCATCGAAATCCATCTCTTTGTCCTCTCCAGCCTCTGGTTCGGCCTCCTTGGCCTCCACCTCTTTAGCCTCTTCTCCTCCCATCCCTTCTCCTCCTTCCTCATCCAGCATGAAGGGCTTCTTCTTCTTCTTCTTCTTCTTGGTCATGTTGGGATCGAAAATCATCTAAGAAGAGAAAAAAACATTTTAAACTCTTGACAAGATTTTGAAATTTTGCCCAATGTGGCTCAACTTTTCATCAGCTGGTTAACAGAAACACACCTTTGGCTGATGTCATCGCAGCACAGTGAGTCAGGGACTGTTCCAGCTACGTGACAGCGTGTCGACAAAATGACCACTTACGACAATCAGTTCTCATTTTCTTGTATTAAATCACCTCAGAGTGTTATCACTGTTATATCACCTGCTATTTACTGTGTTTGTGGTCAATTTAAGCTATTGTTAGTTTCACCAATTACAATAAACTGATGATATTTAATGACACAAAAGTGCGGCTGTGAAAAGCACTGCAACATAAGCAACATAAAAGAAACATCTCTAATGGTTTAAATTGGGCAATTTGCATTTTTCCCCCCTCTGGAAAACTATGAAGGACATTTTTTCACGTGTTGTAGAGTAAAGTCCTGATCAAGTAATAACCATTTCATAGATAAAAAAGAAAACTGATTTGCAGATAACTTGGTGTCTTTGCTATCTGATGCATTTTTCCTACACTGCTTAATGAATGAAATGGTAGATGGATGCTCCTTCCTTGTTTTAGGTCGCACAAACATGAACAAATAATGAAATAAATGTCGAGAATCTATTTTCTTACACATAAACGGAAACCACCAAACTGAACTCATTGATTTAGAATCCGCACACAATTTTAAAAAAGCCCACGTTTCGCAGTGTTTAATTGAGATGACATTGAGCAGCCGTAATTCAGGTGATTGAGTGTGTCACCGCTTTATTTTAGCACAAAACCAGCTGTCCATCTGGAACAAACGAGCTAAAGCTCAGTAGCTTTTTGTTTCTGGTAGAAAACATCACCCGTTAGCGCCGCAGCTCATTTAACGGGAAGCTAATGCTACATGGCTAACTTCAGCCCTTTACTTTGATTTATCCTGCGACAGCGACGATTAAAGCACCACGGTGAATAATAATAATCTACACGGTGTGACAGGCCGTGTTACAGCAGTGTACCGGATGCTTTCATGTCATTCTCGACCGGTCGGGCCGCTGTTAGCCCGGCTGCAGCCATGTGAGAGCTGCTGCGGACAGGGAGGGGAGCAGCGGAGCCGAGGCCCAAAGTCATCCTCAACACCGATGTGAGCCGATAATTCATCCAACTCTGCCCAACAAGTCCACACACCGACGCGGAACGAACAGCAGATTGTCCGGGATGACTTACCTCGTCTCCTGACATGTTTGCGGCCTGAAAAGTGACAAAAATCTGGCTACTCTGTCTCCCTCGATGAGCCTCACCGCTGCGCCGAAATTTTCTTGCATCAGCGTTGGACCGCAGCGCGCAGGCGTGAAGTCGCCAAATCCTGACGTACTAACTTGGCGACGGCGCATGACAGATAGGAAGTGTTCAAGAACAACATTTCACATCCAAACTGCTGCGTAAATGTGAAGAGTTCATTTGCAAAAACAGATAACTCAATTTTTGTGGATTTTCAGAAAACTTATTTTTTGTTGTTTGCGTGAGATAATATCAATCAAACTGCAGTTGGGTGGATTTGACTCAGTAGAAATTACAAAAGTAGAGATAACTTAAGTTAGATTGATATTGTCTCCGGTAGATGATGGAAAAGTGGGTTTTCTTATCTGTTTTTGCAAAAGAACTCTTCATATATATTTTAATGTTTATAGATGTTAAATGTTATACCACAGCCCAAATAGAAAATGATTTTTTTCTAATAATTTGTATAGTCTCCCAATTCCCTCTGTTACAATCAATTAATCACCAATGAAAATAATTTAACTTTATTTGTATTACACTCTCTGTACAATTTAGTGCAGTCAAAAGTGTTTTACACTTAATACTCATACTTAATATCCCTGTAGTATCACTGTAATTATGCAATAGTGTGCAAACCTCTACATGCTGTGTTTATATACGGTATAAACACTTCATGTCAACATGAAAGCATCAGCCAAGAGTTTTATAACGGCCCTTGAAATGACTGGAGATTAGCTAATGTGCTGAAAAACTGTAATTTTGCTCTAACTTCCAGCAGTTGTAAAGAGAATTCACTGACATCTGATGGATGAGTAACAGTGTGATGAAAAAAAAAAAAAAACCCTAAATCCAAAGACATAAAGCCTTGCAGAGGGCAAATATAGTTCATGTCTGTTAAAGTGATTAAGATCTTGTTTATTACATTTCTTGTATTCACTCATATGTTGCTTGGGGTTTATTACAAAAATGCAGTGTAGATAATGGTCTCTATCTCTGTTTCTCTTTCTGTTGATTTGAATTACAACTGAAACAATTTGTCTATTTATTCATCTATTTGTCATTAGACAAACAAAAACAGCTATTTTCATTTTAACTAAATATTTAGGTCAATTCAACACATTTCCAACTTATTAAATGTGAGGATTAGCTGCTTGTCTTTGTCTTCTCTGACATCAAACTGAATAACTTTGAGTTTTACATCTGCTGGTTGAACAAAGAGTCAATCTGAAGATGTCAATCACGTGCTTTTACTGCTGTGTTTTAATATTTATGAAGGTTTAGTTGATAATGAAATGAATTCTAACAGTCTCAAGGGTGCAAAACAAGCTTAGCTATAAATGTAATCATATTATATCGTCGGTTGTCAAGCGATGTTCAAGGTGATGACAATAAACAAGCAACGTGAAAAGGTAAAACTTCCACAACAGTCAAAGAATTGAAAACCTTTAATGATTTTGCAAATAATATTCTCATCTGGATAAATAAAACATAGAAATGCAAACATGCTTGTCCATCTGTCCTTGTGTTATGTTTCTTTTTTTTTTCCTATGTAAAAAATGTACATCATGACTTTGAAAAACTAAAGAATTAACTCTTTAAACTCCAAAACGTCGATGTTGTAGATTGACTATAATCTAATCTTTTATAAACCACCATCGTCTTCTGAATGAAGTTAATAAGGTGTGACAATAGTTTGTTATTACATTTTTTTTTTTAAACATTATACAATTTAAAACGAAACCCTTATGAGAAGGACCAAGACAGACAGAGCAGGATGAAAGTGTTAGGTTAAACATCTCTCTTTCTAGCCGTGCGATGTGATCTGTAGTGATTTCCCATTGTTGCATGCTTCGCACAACCTCGACTGACCCTCTCAGTGACGGCAGAAATACAGTATACAAAAAGAGACACGTTTGGGATATTTACACCAAATAACAAGAACCACTGGTGAGAAGTCGCTGAAAATGGCGACAGGAGGCGAAGAGGAGAGTAAAGGGGGAGAGGGGAGTGGGTGGGGGGAGTTGTCAAAGCATGTAGCCTGGAACTGAAATAAACGGAGGTTTTGATTCTGGCAAAAACACACAGCTCATAGCTTCTTCATCCAGCGCATGCTCAGCTGTACTTCTAT